GAGATACAAATTACTATAGAAATGTATGGCGGATAACGTTTACATACATGGATTTTCGAATATTTAAGACCTTTCGCGACTCCTTACTAACCTCAAGTATTAGCCATGGATAAAACAGGTTATGCGAATCGATTTGACATCAAAATGATTCCTATAGCTGTAAAATATCGACGCATTTATGATCTAGTATACGTTTCATTTCTTTAGAAATGAGGTGAGTTACTTTTTTTATCATTCTTTCTTTATGTTGAGAAATTGTTGACATTTTATTTTTGCTGTAACTTCATTTTTCATGAGCAAAGTACTACTGATGCTTAAACAAGACAAGTTTATTCGGTTTCTTTCGCACTTTATCTTTAGTTTCTATTTCTGTAGTTGTTTTCCTCAAATGGTATACTCGCACCTTGCTGTAACATTTAGATATGGTCTTAATGAGTGAATATGATTTTTGTGAACAGTCTCAGTAACTGCCTCAGAAATTGAAAAGCGAGCAGTGAACTATCTTGCATTGGCAACGATGGAACAAAATACATTCTCGCATGTACAACTTTTAAATCAACACTAATGTCGATATTTTACAGCTATAGGAATCATTTTGATGTCAAATAAATTCGCATAAACTGTTTTATCCATGACTAATACTTGAGGTTAGTAAGGAGTCGCGAAAGGTCTTAAATATTCGAAAATCCATGTTTGTAAACGTTATCCGCCATACATTTCTATAGTAATTTGTATCTCGCCGTGGTAACCGGAAGTGAATTTTGCATATATAATTAGGCTTCACTTTTGCTACCTGTAGAAGCTATATCCAGTCTATTATCAGATCAGTGGCTTTACCTCATATTCATTATGTCATTTTAACCATTGAGTTCCAGTGAACTCCATATATATATATATATCTGGAATGATAACGACAGTACATTTTATAGATAAAAAGTTGGAGCCAAAGTCCTAGTCTCTTGCGCGGTTTGTACGTCAGTTCCAGTCCGTCAAAGTCGAATATTCACGCGGTTTGTACGTCAGTTTCATTCCCCTGAGTGCCAAACATACACGGCCAATATAAAATTTGAATACAAATTGCGAAAGCATAAACATATAAACAACATCACTGCAAACAACACACGAGGCTAATTCCTCGCAAAAGGCTATTTTTTACAGCTGAAACTTTACTACAGTGAGCTCGTTGTAACTTATAACTTGTAACGAGGAAAAGCCAACTGAAAATTACACTGTATGCTAAAAAGACAATACAATAGAAAATATGACGAGAAAATGTTCAAGCATAAATTTTTCTTTCGTCGGAAGGTAAATTTTCAAACGGTGTCAGACAGTGTTTGTCTTTTTTTTGTCATTTCAGTGGATTTAAAGATCTTTTTTTCCGAAGAAAAAAGAAACTTGAATATCCAGTTTCATAAAAAATATTGAGTCTATAACTCGCATTTTTACTTTTTACAGAGCGATTGTATTTTTAGTCGATTTTGATAGTGATTGAAATACTAAATGGTTGTCATCTCGATATCAAAAATTGAATATCCTTAAAGACTTTGCATTTCATTTTTTTGACTCTGAAGATGACTACCGCTAAGGTTGTCGAAACGTCAGTCAACAACAACAAAAACAGTCCTTCTCAGGACTATACCAACCTGGACGATCTACATTTACAAACATGTAACGATACTCCCGGGTTTGAACCAAAGACTTTGATATGTTTTAAAGGAAAACTGCAGCGTAAGAGCAGATCGGCTAAGTCCACCTCAACTTGCTTCTCGATTTATCACTTTGATTCACTTTCCGTGAACCTTTTCATTCCAAAAATTTCGTTATTTTTACGCTCTGATCAAGATCCGAACTCTACCATTACCAAGGGACAAATGATTTAAAAAAATTAAAATGAGCACGCGAGGGACTAGAGCCTGACGTGTGATGACGAAGGATGACAACAAATATTTTTTTGGCTTCAATTTTTGGCTTCGGTTATCATTCCAGTTATTCGAATGTCGAGTTCACTGTTGAGTTCTATATACCTGGAGCGGCTAACTTTACTGGGGCGAGGATGCCAAAAAATGGCGGCCAAAGGACGTATTTCCGCTGAAATGATCGCTTTGCAGAAAAATAATATTCTCGACCTCCCCCTGGTGTCTATAGTAAATTATAAAGAATTTTTCAAAAACAAACACGATATCACAGAATATGGATATCGTTAGTTCCATATTCTGTGAAGATTCTTTTTTGTCATTTCTTTTATAATGCCAACACTTTAATCGTTCAATTGTTGGATGTCGTAGTTTCCACAAAAAGGAACATATCGCTTCTCACAGGTGAGGTAGTTGTTTGTTTTTTTAGTCCGTCAACGATTGAAAAGCAATTATACATGCACTTGAAAAGCCATAAAATATATATTAAAGATCGTATTTTTTAAGACTGACTTGAACGCCAAATATACTGATGTTTTCCTGTTTTTGTTTATAAAATTCTGCATACTTTTCTGTCATTTGTTAATGCATGAAATCGTAAATTTACCCATTTATTTGCAAAATAGTTTCTCTAAAGCAAAAAAGACCCTGCACACATTTTGCTCTGTGAGTAAGTATCAAAAAGAAATGATCAGCCTCAACGGTACCCATGATTTGGAGCAGAGCTTTCTATGTTCTATTTGCTGACAACATGCAGGGAAGATCAAGGAGTAAAGATGACTGGAAGATGTTATTGACCAGGCAGAGTCTTAAAAAATTATAATGCTGTAAAGATAATTGATTTATTGTCTGCCCTATCCAGAGTTATTTAAGTTGATCGTGGTCAAATTCTATGGATGGAGACAATGGATTCACTAAGGATGGCTTGAATGCTTTGAAGTTAAAGTTCATGATCCAAAGAAAGATGGCAAGAAGGTTGTGTGTGTTTTGATGCTTAATGAAATGTCAATTCACAAACATGTAAAATGGAAGGCCATAAAGTTTGTGTCTATGTAAACATTTGTACTGAGATTGATGATGACTCGATGCAGATGTGAAGCTTCAAACTGTATAAGCCATTGGGTTTTATGTAACTTAATGTTTAAATCATGTCATATCTTTATCAAAATATTTTAGTTGAGTGTTGTTTGAATGTTACTAATGCACTATACTGAAGCATTAAAGATTCAGCGATGAAACCTTTAAAGTTACTGTACTGTATATTTCTTATATATTTCTTATATTTCTTTAAGAAAAATTTGAGCTTATTTACCTATTAGAGTACAGAATGGAGATTTATCATATGCATTATTGCTGCTTTTTTAAAGAAAAGTTTTTCACTTTTCAAAGCTTTTCTACAAATTTTTTTGCTTCTTATTTCTTATGATGAGATTGATGATATAGAGGTAATATAATCCAATAACTTTCTAATTTCTAAAAAGCTTTTAAGCTTCTAGCATAAAAGTACACTATAGGTATGTAATTCATTTGGTTTTATTGCGTTGCTATGACATATCTACTTGTATGAACAAAACACCAGATGTGGATACTCAGAGAACAAAATGCACTACCAACTTCTTATGAAATTTATTATTGAGGTGAAAACTGTGTTAATCATTCAAATTATAGTGCACTTTTATTGCAAATATAGGAAAAACAAAACAAAGTGAAAAAGAAAGGTAGAAGTATTAAAACTACATCATCATCATCATGCAGTCAGTCGTAAGCGACGAGGACTGTTCTATGGTTGGATTGAAGCTCTCCAGGCCGGTCTGTTATCAGCCAATTGCTTCCAGGTTGTCACGTTGATGTCTCTCCTCTTTAGATTTCGTTTCATGACATCTTTGAGTCTGAGTCGAGGTCGGCCTTGGTTTCGTTTCCCTTCTACTAGTTGGCTGTACAATAGCTGGCGTGGTAAACGAGATCTCTCCATACGATGGACATGACCAATCCATCTTAAATTCTTTTGAATCAGCATGTCAGCCATGTGTGGCAGGTCAGTCAGACGGAGAATCTTAGCATTTGCGATCTTGTCCCGCCATGATATCTTCAGAATGTCCCGCAGTTGTCTCATCATATACGCACTCAGTTTCTTCACTTGAAGCCTGTAGATTGTCCATGCCTCTGCTCCATAAAGGAGTGTTGTCAGCACCACCGCCTGATAGACCTTGGCTTTAACTCTGGTCGAGACATGCTTATTTTGCCATAGCCGATCGTTTAGTTGACTGAACGCTGCACTCGCCCTTCCCATTCTGTTCCTCAGCTCCTTTTCAATCTTAGCATTGCTGGAGATTGTACTACCCAGGTAGTTGAAGTCTGTGGTCTGGACAAGAGGCTGTCCGTCAATGGTGATTGCACAGGGTTTTGGGGGAGGGAGTAGAAGCTTTACTGGCTGGTAGAGGCACTCAGTCTTTTTGATGTTTATCTTGAGGCTAAACATAGCGGCAGCTTGTGCAAATTTGTCCACCAATGCCTGCATCTCTGCTGCACTGTGAGCAACCAGAGCACAGTCGTCTGCAAAAAGCATATCTCTGACAAGCTGACGTGTTGTGCGTGTCTTAGCTTTGAAGTGTGAGGCGTTGAATAGGTTCCCATCATGTCTAGTCTGGATGTAGATACCTTCCCTTGTGTCCTCGAAGGCAACCTCCAGCATGGCAGCCAGGTAGAATGAGAACAGTGTCGGAGCCAGCACACACCCTTGCTTTACACCTGTTGAGACAGCGAATCCCTCAGAGCAGTCGCTCCCACGAGTGACTTTAGCTTGCATTCCTTCGTGAAACGCTTTCACGAGATTGATAATCTTATCAGTACAGCCAAACTTTTTCAGTACTGCCCACAAGCCGCCTCTAGGGACAGTGTCAAAGGCCTTAGTAAAGTCTATGAAAACTGCATAGAGGGGCATGTTCTGTTCAGTGCATTTCTCCTGAACCTGTCGTAGGCTGAATATCATATCCATGGTACTCCGCCCACTCCGAAATCCACTCTGGGTCTCAGGAATTACTCTGGGACTTATCATTTCGTTCAGACGATTGAGGAGTATTCGAGCCATCACCTTCCCAGCGATTGAGAGTAGAAAATGCCGCGATAGTTGCCGCACTCTTTACGACTGCCTTTCTTGAATATAGGGACTATATTCGCGTCCTTCCAATCTTGTGGAATCTTCTCTCCTATCCAGATATCTCCGATCACATCTAGCAACCTCTCTTTGAGTGTTGTACCACCATACTTCCATACTTCTGCAGGTATCCCACAACATCCAGGAGCTTTGCTTTCCTTAGTTGCTGCGATCGCCTTCAGAAGTTCATCCATCTTTGGGGGCTCATCCAGTACGTGGACTGTTGGACGTTGGGTGATGCTCGCAAGAGCAGCACTATCCACGTTTCCAGGCAGATTTAACAACTGGTCGAAGTGCTGAGCAAATCTTTCCAGCATCTTCTTGTTGTCTGTCAACACAGTCTCTCCATCAAGAGCGAGCAGTTGGGCAGTACCTCTCTTTTGTGGGCCATATACTTCTCTAAGACCTCCATAGAAGGACTTCATGTCGTTTTCTGCTGCGGCGTGCTGCAGTTCCTCTGCTTTAGTCTCCCACCACTGAGACTTCTTCTGTCGGGTGTACTTCTGTAGTTTGCTGCGTGCTGATGCAAGGTTTGCCCTGGTAGACCTGGTGTTTACAGTCAGCTGTCTTGCTTTTGCCTGGTTCCTCTCCTCTAGTAGTCTGTTTAGCTCCTCGTCTGTTTCGTCAAACCAGTCCTGGTGCTTGCGTTTCGGTTTGCCTAGGATTTCTTTTGCTGTATTAAATACTGTATCCCTTAACGTCTCCCACTTCCCTACAACATCCGAGTCTCCTGTTGAGCTCTCCTGTAGTGATGTTGTCATACTTCTCTGAAAGTCTTTGCGCACACTGTCACACTTCAGTCTGGCCACGTTGAGATTGTACCTGTGCTGTCCTCCAGTTTTCTTGACTTGTTTCCTTAGTGAGAAGGCGATTTTGGACAGCACCATGTTATGATCTGTGTTGCAATCAGCCCCTCTAAATGCTCTGGTGTTGACTATGTCCCTCTGGTCTCTCTGCCTAGTGATCACGTAGTCGATGAGGTGCCAGTGCTTAGACCTCGGGTGCATCCATGTCGTCTTGTGGGTGTGCTTATGCTTGAAAACAGTGTTGGTTATCACCAGACCATATTCAGAGCACAAGGCTAGGAGGAGTTCTCCATTGGTGTTGCACTTGCCCACGCCATAATGTCCCAATACTCCAGGCCAGTTTTCCACTTCATCTCCAACTCTGGCATTTAAGTCTCCGGCTATAATGAGCTTATCGGTGCTGGGCACTTCTCTGATAGTTTCCCTCAACTTCTGATAGAAATCTTCCTTTATCTCATCAGGGTTAGTCATGGTCGGGGCGTAGACACTAACAATAGTAGCCCACACCGTCCCCTGCAGAGGAAGGCGTAGAGTGATTATTCTGTCGCTTACAGCTACCGGTTCTTGTTCCAACTTCTGGGCGATTTGGTTTCTTATAGCAAAACCAACTCCAGCCTCTCTTTTCTCCCTCTCCTCTCTTCCACTCCAGAAAAAGGTGTATCCTTGGTCAACCAAGCTGCCACTTAGAGCCAGCCGGGTTTCACTCAGTGCTGCCACGTCGATGCTGTACCTTGACAACTCCCTTGCTGCTAGCGCTGTTTGCCTTTCCGGTCGTTTAGATCCAGGTCGATCAAGCAGCGTCCTCACGTTCCATCCTGCGAGTCTCAGATGTTTCTTGATGTCCTCCTTGCGGTCCACCTTGCGTCCTAGCTTACTTCTCACTGGTCGCCGGAGCGGGAGCGGACCAGCGCGAACCTTGGTAACCCGGGCGACGTTCGAGCCGGTATCATGTCTAGCTTCCTTATTCATTTCCATAGAACTGCATGCAAAATGTTAAGTGGCACTGGCTTTTGCATTACCAGGACACTCTCTCGGTGGGGCACTGCTGTTCTCCAGCGGGCAAGAACAAGTCAGGACGTGCTGGCAACAATACTCCACTGCAGGGACTGCCAATCCAGTTGTCGTTGACTGAACATGGTTGCCTTTACGGGGTCCCATCTCCGTAGTGAGTTGTTTGAGGTTCACCTTCCTTTAGCCTTTAGTCTTAGCAAAGACCTTTCCCACAAGGCAGTGGGGGTTTGCTGAAAGCAGGTGTCAGATGGTCACAAGACTCCATAGTGCCTGTGGCTTTTTAGACAGTTGTTGTTTTTGTATTGTCAGGGTGTCTGACCATCCTTCCATCGCCATAGGCAATGGTGAGTCAGATTTGTCGCCGACTTTTCGACCATGACACAGATGGTACTCGCTAACATGTTAGAGTCGTCAGCCTTCATTGCCGGAAGGTCTTCATGCACTTGGGTGAGATGACACCCGCCTACACCTGGAGAATCCAGAGTGCAGCTCGCTCACATAGTTTCGCCGTCCAGCCGAGGACGTTACCGGGGGATGGCCGTTGCCGTGCACAAGCAACTACTTGGAGCCATATGTGAGCTAGACAGGTGGTGAGGGCCAATGCTCTGAGCCATGCACAAATGCATGCGGCTGCCCAGGGTACAGAGGTACTAGCCCTAACACCTGCCCAATCCCCTAAAACTACAAATGAATTATAAACACCATTGGAAGCATAAGTGTTTTGATGATTATTTGCATTTTGCCCAATTCATATATCAATACAACAAAATCAAAATGTGCTACAACTTTACAAGTATTTGTTGCAGTTGCACTTCAGAACGTCAAAAATAAGGTTACTTAAAGTAATTTCTATACAATATTGTTTGTTTTCATTTACCAAACCTATGCAGACTTGAGTCTTTTTGAAATTTCATATGAAACTCAATTACAGAAAATCCGTAAATATCCGGAGATTTAATATGTACTTTTTTAAAGAAACAAGTAAAAATCCTACAATTGTGGCGAAAAACGCCATTGCCCATTGCATGAAAAGAAGCAAAATAGCAATGATAACAAATAAGCTAACTTCTCTCTCGTGAACCGTGGAGATGAACTATGATATACTTTTTTGTATAGACTAAAGAGTTTAATCGTTCAAACAAGTTTGACGCTGGTAAGAAAACGACGCACATCTGCATTCATACATGTGTAGCCGACATATAGGTCTTTCGTCGATAGTTATAAATGCATCCTCGTAGGAGCAGATAACTGACAACCACAGTTGACTCGCTGTTATGAATTTAAGGTTTTTACCTTCATTTTCATCAAAAAATTGCTTACCGAATCCCAAATACACACATACATTTTCCTCACTCTTTCCTCAGGAGGGAGTGGGAAATTGTGAAATTTTAGGAAAAGCGGTCAGTTTCGGTAAATCTCAGCGGCAAAGGACGAAATCCGCCATTTTTTTGGCGTCATCAGATATCTAAGGCCGCGCTTGAGATAGCCGCTCTAGTTATTATAGAGCTCAATGATTTTTAACTTTAAATATGTTTATGTCAAGATTTCAATTGTAGAATGATTATTATATATACTACTGAACATTGTGTACAACAAGACAACTGTCAATAAATGTGTTGTTAAGAAAAACGAACCTTAAGAACCAAGAATAGCATGAAGCTTTGTTTTACACCACTGTATATGACAGATCATTCTCAATGAAATGCATCAAATTGCAATATTGCTACATAAGCACAATGAGGATGGACATTTTGGTGTTCAAGAAAACAAGATTTAATTAATTATAAATGTTCCAAATGTGCACAGCAATGTAATTATATCTTACAATACCTGTGCCAGGCCTAAATATCACACAATGATAAATAATCTTTTGAAAATTTCACTGTTTGATTGTAAACTGTTTTCTTCTTTAAGATAAATCCCATTTGACCACCTACCTATGTTGTCACGACAACAACAATGAATCGAGAAGAAGGTTTGAAAGCTTTGGAAACATCTATCAAAGCCATTAAAGAAGTCATTATGAACAAGAAAGGAACATTTGTTTTACAACAAGCTGTAAGTGTTTGGTTTATATTTCTATGAAAAGTATATTGTATCACTAAAATGACATCCCCCTGGTGCCTCTACTGTCTTCATATCATCCTGTTACCATTTCCCTAAGTACCCCATGCTGTATTAAGACGGACATATTCAATCATTATTCGTTTATTTGAAATTTACAAAGACACCATCCCAATGCATTGAAATCAATAATATTAGGACCCTGTGACATTGGCAATAATTTATGTTAACTGTCCACAAAAATTAGTTTTTCCTAAAGCTACTTATGCATTGTGATATCATAACGATGTTTTTTGCATATTGAAGAAAAGTTAAGTGTCTTCAAAACGAAATAAAATAACAAAGCACATGTTCACACCATTTACACAATGTCTGTCTCATGTTTGCTTTCTCTGACTGTGTAACTATTATCAGAAGGACATCACTTGAGTCCATTGGACATTTTGCACACTTTTATGATGTATGAAAGATTTGAAATCATACAACTGACGTATGTTTAATGAGCTGCTGTTTTTTGCAGCGTCAGAGAAAAAAATAAATAAGCAGAGTTTGTCATGCTCTTATTCAAGTAGTACTTTATGTTTAACTTAGGAGCTAAACATGTTTCATACAAAATGTTTTATGGTTTTTGATTTGTTGTATGAAATGATCTTTAATATGTATTACATATAATTGAACAACTGTTTTTCTATTGTGTCTGTTGACATAAAATCATCAGTTTTAACAGAAATATGCATTCATTGAGATCAGAAATGTAAAAATTTTAAAATGATTTGAACTTATTCACAAAAGAGGTCATTATTATATTTTATTATCCTAACTAACATTTTTATTTGACTTGATGGGGTACTCTAAGGATCACGGCAAATTTTTGCCTCGTGCTCGATGGTAACTATCGGAATTAGCGGGAAAAAACTACGTCAGAGGTCTGGTACCGACACAGAGACGCGATTCTTGTCATTTCTTTCTGGATAGTACGCCGTCCATCGAAGCTCCTCAGTTCGTAGATATATAAAAATTGCCAAATACCAGCTGTTATCCTTCTGTAAAAGTAAGTAAACATTCTTAGTTAACGTTAGAATGGAGTTTTGTAAATTTTGATGAATTCAGACAACAATATTCGTCGTCGTTTCCATAATGAAAGCGAAACCAATGAAAAATGTATTTGTAATTGCAACTATGTTCAACGCATTTGGGTATAATTGTGACAATTTTTATCGTACAAAGGAAATTGTGGTAGGCTGTCGTCAATAGCTTCAAATATCTATTTTTTTGAACGGTTTTATGCGCCGTATCCTGGTATCAAAACGTTGATGACCTAACATCTATGTACTTATTAGGAACGTGAAAATATTTAAACCAGTTATAACCAGGAGGCGTCAATTTCCTGAACACTTAACACTTTAAACATCGAAACATGTTTTATAATATTTAAGTCACGCTTAAGTGAGAATCGCGTGATAAGTTTTGAAGTATCTATTGGCTCTTTTGCCTTGATGGTAACAAATCTATTGCGCATTTTAATGACAAAGGAATTTAAAGTTTCCTTGAGTGCAAATAATTTGGTGTAAATTTATCGTTTTAAAACTTTCAAAGTCATTATTATGGATCAAAAATTACTTTGTAGCTTCTTTTTTAATACATTCTGAATTTTTTGAAAATAATTAATTCATTCTTTGGTATTTGATTATAAATGATGTAGCCACATAGCACAAGTGTTCAACTCTTCTTCTTAGCTGTGGTGCATTGGAGCATGTTACATTCGATTTAACTTTTCCGTTTGATATTTCGAAGTTTTAGCAATCGTGGAAATGTTTATCGTAAGTTCACAATCAAATTTACTTATTCGTTCCATGAAAAACTATCTCAACAAAAATTTCAAATACATGAGGCAAAGTTACGCAAAATAACGTTTCCCACAACGGAAGTTTCATGTTTGTACCAAAATATACACAACACAAGAAATATATACTTTACCGCTAGATTCAATGTCATGAAACCTTCGTATAGCGATTCCTACATAAGCTTTGAAGGAATTTTAATGCAAATAAACGTTTACATATGTAGCCATTGTGAATGTGAATGTATCGCCGTTTTCGCTTTAAATATTTGAAAGTTTTCTAATTAATGTTATTCGTTTTTTCTGTGTTATTTTTGTAAGAGTATCTATGATGTTCTTTAGAATGCCTCCTTGTTTATGAAAATCAATAATGAGAGACGTCTACACGATTTATCCACAAAAGAATAATGCTGTACCACAATACAACCAAACGATCATTGCTATGCTCCAAAATAGACCTGAGCTAAGTCCTTTCGTTAGAAGTGATATGTACGATATTGTGAGCTTTCTTTACATGTCGAATGAGTTGGTTGAAAAAGAGATCATGAAAAGTGAAGGAGAAAATGCACTCTCGTTTATTCTGTCTCATCTTGATGATCAATCAATGACAGTTTTACTTAGAACCTACATTAAGAAATTTTTCAACTGTACAAAATTTACGAATGACGCCTTTCCTCTTTTTCCGTACAATGAAAACTGCCTAAACCATTGGTTTACGCAGAATTTTTCACGTTCTAATGATGCAGGGGACCAAACTAATCAAGAAGTAAAGATTTTTAATGCAAGCAACAAAGATGAAGCAATTAGATGTATCATCGAGGTTGAAAGATTGAAGAAAGAAGAAGACGAAAATACTGAGTTATATTTCCATGGCACTGATCATTCGTCTGCTCAGAATATTATCGAGAATGGCAATAAATTAGGTAAAGATGGTGAAAAATGTGACTTGTCGCATAAGTATGGTTTCTACATGGCAAATGATTACGAATACTCATTAACACAATATTCTAATACAACAGAAGCAGCCCTTCTCATTTTTTGTTTACGCCCAAATAATTTGAAAAGTTTCCAAGAATTGTATTTATGTGGTAAGAGCAATCAACAAGACTTTGTTTCAGTTACTCCATACTTTAGGGCTGGAAGGATAGACTGTAAAGGTTCCATGAGCAGGGAACTATTTTCGGCATTAGAAGTGCGATTATATCAAAAGTCCAATTACAAGTGATGTTCGTTCAGCAGGTGACCAAAGGAAAGATATTCTGCAGGTTTGTGTGAAGAAACCCAAAATGGCTGAGACAATGAGCGGTTCTCCATCATTGGTGGGTGCAGTCTTTATAAAACCTGATTCTGAAGAGAACGATTCGTTGTTGGGTTTTGAATCATTTGTATATTGAAAACACCATTATTAATCTGATGCTTAGCAATGGCCTGTTCATGTGTATTTAACTTCTTCAACTGGGAGGCAACAAGCATTCCAAATAAATCGTTTTCATCTTTTTCCACGTGTTTTTTTTTGTTTTGATGCTTAATTGCTTTTTGCATTGTACAAAGAAACCGTATTTCTTCTTGCTCAACATCAACTTTTGTCTTTGACCACTTTTTATGTCCAGTTGTATCAGATATATCAGTAATCTTATCATCAAATACTTCATCTGGCTTTATTTGTTGACAGTCATTGTCTTCATTTAGTAAGCTGACTTGCTCAATTTCATCATTGGTTAACAAACTACAATTACTTGTCGAGCCGCTGCCGGTATTTGATACTGACAAATTAGTTTTTGTTGCTCCAGCCTTTATGTATGGTACTAACCACTGTAGAAAATTATAGTCCTTCAATTTTGTTTTAGAGGAAACAACAGCTGACGGAGATGTTCCAGATTTATTTACTTTTTTAAAGTTATTTCTTCGCTTGCTGAATCTCTTTTTTAAATTTTCAAACAATTTTTAGGCTCGCTCACCAATTATTAAAGTAAATGATTTGAACCCGGGAGGAGTATCGTTACATGTTTGTAAATGTAGATCGTCCAGGTTGGTATAGTCCTGAGAAGGACTGTTTTTGTAGTTGTTGACTGACGTTTCGACAACCTTAGCGGTAGTCATCTTCAGAGTCAAATGAAAATTGTTTTACGTTCGAATAGATTCAGATTTTCTGCCACTTTTGCCCAAGCATTTGCCACGCCAAACTTGTCTTTATAATCCTTATATGTTTTATCATATAAGCAGGGAATCTTACGCACTTTCTCGGCCAATTTTCTGGGTTAAGTGATTGAGCACATGTTGAATCCGCCATTTTATACTCCAAAATTTTCATTCAAGATGACGTCATTTTGGCGATTAACGCGAATAAATATCAAAAATTATATCGCGGTTGTTAGTCTACGTTTATTGCGATTATTACCTCGTTCCCATATGGGATTATCGCGTTTAAAGTTAATCGCTGTCGCGTTTTCGCGTTAAGCCTATAGTGGAAACCAGGCTTTATAGATCAAAGGTCTCGACCAATGAAATTGCTCAAGTTCTTCTGGTGATTATATAATTATATATAGTCAACGGCGCGGTATATTTATAGTCTTTGTTATTGTGAATTGTGAAATTGGGAGTTGAGAGAATTTGATTTGAATTGTATTCAAAGCTTCAAATTTTCAACAATGACTTCACGAAAGCGTTGCTACAATGGATTAAAACATGCAAAACAACATATGATATTATTTTTCATTTTATTCGGCGTACTTTGTGGATTTTTACTTGGTTCTTTATTACATGGCAATGTTCAGTCGTCCATAGATCCAACACCGAAGGAATATGCAATGTACGTGTCTTTTCTTGGTGAGATTTGGGTGAGAGCTAGACTTTTGGTTCTTCCTTTGATTGTATCCAGCCTGCTTTTGGCAGTCGCTGAACTGGAGTCAAAACAGAGCGGAAAATTGGGAAGAAGAACATTGCTGTATTATCTTATGACTACAATGTTTGGGGAGTAATTTGTTCATTTGTATCAAACCTGGAAATGTTAACGTGAAAGAACCAGAACCGAACGAAGAAAACGTTGAAGCAATACATTCTGTGCTTGATCTAACAAGGTTTGTGCAAAATATTGATAAATTTACTGAGTTTGCGCCCAGCTTTTGCGTTCACTGCAAAAATCGTCTTCTACGTATAAGTTATATTTTTATCAGTTAACGACAATGCTTTTTATTTTTTTTGAAGGCAACTTTATTTACTATAACGTAAATGCTACAGTCGCAAAACTGTGCAAGTGTACGAGATTTTCGAGCGCATACGGTAATCGCGTTATCGCAATATTCACTAGATTCTTAATCTTCTATTTGTGACAAACTTCCTTAAGTCCAAGAGGTGGCTATGACTTTTTATACATTATTATATTCATATTTGACACTTTTTTTATTATGCCATACGAACCACAACTACCAAAGTAATCAACGCCACAAGATCTTAATGCTGGATTGAAGAATACCCGTCCACTCACTATCTACTTATATAATATGCCTTGTTCTTTATACTTTGTTCTTTATTTTGACCATTAAAATGACACTAAATGATACTTGATAAATAATAATTGAGAACTAAACGATATTTTAGCTTAGTGATAAACACTACAAGATCGTAATGCTATGTTATAGAATACCCGTCCACTCACTATCTACTTATATAATATGCCTCGTTCTTTATACTTTGTTCTTTATTTTGACCATTAAATGACACTAAATGATACTTGATAAATAATAATTGAGAACTAAACGATATTTTAGTTTAACTTAAGCCTGTATGGGTGCCTTTAAAAATGGAGGGGTATTCTATAATCGCTCCGAGATTTTAAATCAGGGGTCTCCAAACTTTACAGCCAGAGGGCCACATGAACTTTAATTCAGCATGTTGAGGGCCGACGAACCGTATACCGCTGATCAAAGAGCGAATATTTTAATAAAACGAAGTACATAACACAAGCTTCATTAGTTAAGAAATATTTATTCAAAATTTAAACTCTAAAGGTTTAATTTCAACCAAGAGTAATATCATAACAAAATCACAATTATTCTGTTCAGTTTTCTCAATGTGAGTGGTGAAATTGGCTTTTCATGACAAAATTGTAAAAAAGTCTAGCTTTAAGTTTGAGGACCCAAGCCATAGAAGAGCCCTCAGATTTTCATCTGACATGTGTGTTCTATAACTGTTTTTCATATACTTTATTCTAGAAAAAGTTTCTTCACACAGGTATGTGGTGCCAAACATAGATAGCAGTCCTGCAGTAAAATGCCTCAAATTTTGATAGTTCTCTTTCGGTTCTCTTTCTTTAAATTCTTCCCTCAGCAAGTCATTTGTTTGTTGAAGTTGGGACAAAAATTGACGTTGGGACAAAAAAGCCACTCTTGCAAGTTGACTTGAGTCATAACGTGAGCTTTCTGCACGAAGTATATTTTGTTTAATATTATTTTTTCTTAAGTGTCTCTGCGGGCCGGATTGAGAGGGCCAACGGGCCGTAGTTTGGAGACCCCTGTTTTAAATGGATAAGTTAATCTGAAACACAACCTTTACAACAATGACATTGAGATATAAAAATTGCAATAAACCTTCCACACTCTACTCATCACACACTCAATTTCACATCTCTTTGAGACAGTGAGTGGAAGGTTTATTGAAATTTTTGAATTTAAAAGTCATTGTTCTAAAGGCTATGTTTCAGATTAACTTATCAATTTCTAATCGTTTTATTTTATAGCTTTTAACCTTTTAATAACGAGATCATTGTTAAGTAATTATTGCTGTCATTGATCGTTTCATTCCTAAATAGTTCATCTCTAAACAAGTTAATTATGACGGCCAATTTTTATAACATTGACCGCAAGACGTAAAATTGGCCGTTTGATTGTAAATCATGATTTTAATCTTCCGTGCCATAATATTTCGCATTTTAGGCTCTTGTCCACTGCTCACTGCGAAATTTAACTGTGAAGTGTTAAGTAAAGAAAGGGTTGCTGAATGCTTTGTAGCTGATCTTCAAAGTACGTAAAATGTTTTATGAGATATTTTTGCCTATAGAAAATTTTACTATGTTATATTTTAGCGACGAAGTTCACTTTCCATGTCTTTGAATATCAACCATATTTATAGCACAATAACTTTTAAGAACGTATTCTTTGGAGACAATGATTATCTCCTATAATATTCCCTGGGAAACACGTTTTATTGAGCTGGTGGCTCATGGCTTGTGTATTCTAATTTCTAAAGCAAAGTTCAATATTCACATAACACACATAACTACATTCACATAACACACAGTAACAAAAAACGGCACTGTTTAAACAAGAACTATTCAGTATATTATGGACGATTGCACAGGATTATGTCGTTCGCTTGGAACTCGTCGCGACATTTTTAGTGTGAACCAATTCATTCTGGTTTCGCTGAACTTTTCTTCGATGTGTTTCCTTGCTTTTGTGGAAACGTTTCAATTGGTTGCTTTACAGCTGTTAAATAATTGTTTCAAGACATTTTTACGTCAGACATTTTTACGTCAGACATTTTTGCATTTCATTGTTTAATTCCCTTCCTTTTTCTTATGCTCATTGATTTGTCAACTTCTGATAAAAAAGGAAAATTCTCTCCAGCCATTGACGGATTATCTTGTGTGGCTTTCGCAACAATTAAATAGACTTGATTCTCAATTTGAAATACTAACTATGTAGTATAGAGCTAGTGATTGTTTAGAATGCACAAAATGTCATGACCTCTATATCTTTAGGTGGGATTGTAAATGGCTTGTGGCTACACACTGGCCACTGGCTGAGGAATGACACCGAAGAAGCTTTTTTACGTCAACAATAAACAATGTAAGGTGGTAGAAGTTGGTCAATTGTTTATATATTTTTATTTTATGCAAAGTAAAGATAAAAGCGTAAACGACACAAATGAATGGGTGCATGATGGGTATAAACAAAGGGATTGTTTCCAGAATCTTCCGTGCACGTTACTGTTGCATGATGGTATGGGGACTTCCCCTTGCAGATGAATTGTATTTTGCATAAAGACGTGTGTAGAGAACCATGCTGCGTTTTGCGTCCGCGACAAACGTTGTTGAATGTCGGTTCATCGTGGTTCTTACATTGCACTGGTGTGTCAGGTTGCTGTGGCACAATGAATGATTTAAGTTGTTAAAGTTGGTCAACTGTAAAATCCAGAGTTTACTTGAATCAAATACGGACGAGAAGAAAATCTCTAGAGCTTGGGTAAAGTACATCAAGACAAAAATAATTCCCGTTTACAAAACGTTCCAGAGAGCGTTGCTGAGGATCAAAAGATGAAACCTGGAGCTGAAAGTCAGGCTGAATATCTAATATTTTTACTCGTACTTTTATATTTGGAACTTCTTATTGAATTGTATGATTTAAATCTTTCTTCAATTCCTGATGAACTATAAATATCTATAATTTGTACAAGTTCGCCGTGAACATAATAATAATTGAAATATTAACTACTTAGAACAAAT